ATTCAGGCATTTATTAAAGATGAGTAAGCATGTTTTCAACAGAAATTCTACTAAGGCTGAAAAATCCCAAGTCAGTTTACTTTATAATTCTTTTCTTCCCAAAGTCACTATTTGATGATAATACATGATGACAGTATCATGACTGAATTAATTTTGGGTTTATTGCTGTGAACCTTATTTACTCCTAATCTTCACTATCATGTGCTAATCCTGTCATACACCATGCAGATTAAAACTGAGAATGTGCCACCTTTCAAATACCTTAGATACATTAATACAGACACCATCAAGAGCTGGGAAACAAAGTGACAAGTGGTGGATCGCACTCTATGGTTTAAAACTGTTAGCATTTGTACCTCTTACTGAATGATTTAAGAGGGAAATAGAATCATTCATTTGCTGATGTCTCTTGCTTGCGCATCAGGAAGTAAAAAGAGTAGTAAAGAAAAATAAATGGCCATTCAGGTGTAAACAAACAAGAGGAACAAATATCTTCCCCAAAGTACAAATGCAATACAAATTTACACTGTTGCACTGAAAATTAATGAAACCTTTCCTAGTGCTATGGGGGAGACTGACCAACAGTACTGCTTTGAGCCCAGCATCTCATAGGCATAATTTAGATAAACCACAAAGCCACATAATGGGTGGTACAGAAAGAGGAATCTCATTTGAATTGCACTGACAAATGGCAATATAAACCCATGAATTTATTCTGTGAGAGCAAGGCACTAAGTGCCTCTAAATGAAAGACCTTTTCCTACTAAAGGCAGAAGATACAAGATAGGATGAGTGACAGCAAAAGGCTTACAAGCCAAAAGACACAAAATCCTGAGACTGCAGGTGAAGCAGTTTGCCCAGTGTTTTAATGGCTTATTGTTGATTTTTTAATCTTGCCATATTTACAGAATCCTCTTTCTCTGCAATATCAAAGCAAAGATATTTCCTCCCCACCTCATTCTCACACACACTGAGATGGAAACGCTAATATTTACAAGAAGCACAGAGCTTTCATGTTACTTCCACCATGGTTCAGTAGCTATGTAAGAAGCCTAGCAATAAACAAAAAGTGGTTGTGTGTCTTGTGTTATTGTTACAGTACACGGGGTCAGGAATCATGCATGTGTTCTTTGGCATACAGTCAAATCTACAGGACTGTTATCAAAAGCTTATTTTCCCTGGCTGCTTACACAAGTGACTACAGGTGGCAGAGACCGACACGCTTGGATCAGCATTTCTGCATTACACAAGAAGTGATCTGTAAAAGTAAGAAAGTAGTGCAAAATTAAGGAAAGAGAACAAAAAGACTGCCTGTCACTTAAGTGTAGTCAACTAAAGCGAGGACTATCATAACGCTCCAAATGTGAAGTGGCCACTTCTTTCAAGAGCTTCTAACATATTCCGGAATAATAGTGTTGAAATCTTTGACAGGTTCCACCTAAGTGGAGTTATTTTACAGTGCACTAACACTACAGAAGCACTTAAAAACAAAACAACAAAAACACACACGAAAACAAAAAGCAAAACCACCTGAAAAACCAATTCTGGTCTAATAAGAAAAAGAAATTATTGTCCTGCATTTCAAACTGTGGCTTATTTGCTTGTTTAGTGATTAATCCAGGCATTTATAAAGAAGGAATACATCCAGGTTTTAAGAAGGGATACTATCAAAGCTCCAAGTGTCAGAACTTGACTAGTTTTATCATCCTATCTCCAAAGTCAATATAAACCTATTTACAGGACTATTTAGAAGAAATCCTTTAGCCAGGAAGACCAGTAAAGAGTAACTCAACAAGAATGTTTGGCTAAAAAGTGACTTCCATTATCAAATTCTGGGGATGATATAATTATTTTTGAATAATTATATATTGCAGTCAAGTCTCCCTTCCTTCCTCCTCCGAGGTCAGGGGAAATAAACCTCAATGAACCACAAGTCTACTTTCTTCAAGAGACTTCTGTATTAATAGGAAAACAACTCATGAAACCACCAGGAAACGGGAATGGGTAGATGAGCTGTGTACTACTGTATGCTGATTGTTGCACCAAATTGATACGGAGGCTTTAATAATAAGACTTTATTTACCTCCAGTAAATTAAGTAATTTAATTCTTTAGAAGTAGATTCATAAAGCAGCTGTTAAAAGCAATGCTGCACCAATATTTTTCTTGATATAGATAAAGAGGAGTGGCATTGCACAACCTGGACTCTATCCTCAGCTTTAGACTTTTGCCCTACAAGCAGCCACTTGTGGACTTCGGAGCTAACTGTGCTACCGAAACAAACAGCATAGGTTATAATTTCTTTCAGAACAAATGATCTTATTGTACCCACAATCTCGAGCCTTGTGGAAAGTCTGAATGGCTCCAGAAGGAGAATCATCCCACAGAACACCAGGTGTTGGGCTTCTCATTTTCCACTGCTTGAGAGCCTGCCCCTGCTTCCCTTCTCTTCCCACTCACTCTTCTTTGCACAGTGCTCCCTCAGATCTTGCCTTCTTATCCCACACCTCTGAGCTGTCAGCAGCTACCCACCTTCCTGCTTGCCTAACACCTCCCTTGCCCTCATCTAACAATATCTGACACTCATCCTCAGCCTGCAATTTCTAGTCCGCTATTCCATATAAAACCATAACCTTCAATCTTGTTACCCTCCTCATACTCATTTTGTTTTCTTTCCACTCATTAAAACTCCCACTCATTACAAAACACAGTCCCACAACCCAGTTTTCCTTAACAACCATTTCATCCTCTGTGACCACCTCTTCATGCTCTGCTCTCTTGGCTTCTGTGACCTACCTGAAAAGGCCCCCACTGCTCTTCACAGACAAGTCCTCCAGCCTCTTCTCTCAACTATTATGGAAAGTAGAGACAAAATAAGATACATACCAATATTCCCATTATGGATCTCACTAATAATGACTCAACATCACTGAATGCACTAGGAAATACTCATAGCAAAATTTTACCATGGTTTCCTCTGCTATAATTGCCTTATTTTTCCCTTCACCTCAAGAAGGCTGCCTCCTCCAGCTCTATGATACCAGCAGTCACAATTCTACTGTCTGCTCCCAACCTGCTACCTCAAGCCTCCTTTTCTTGTACCAAACGGCTATTACCAACTTTTTTGAAGAAAAATCTAAGAACATCTGTCAGGACTTACTCTCTAAGACATTCTAAGTGAGTGACTGTATCTTCCATTATCTCCTGTACACCAGTCTTTCCCAAATTCAAAATTTCAGGCCACCCATTTCTGGTTTTCCAGTGGGCATTACAGTTTAGTGCAGATTCACTGACTGTACCCTCATAACCAAACCTTGGCCTCATATTCTCTTTTGAGCAAAAATGTTATAAAGCTGCCAGGTGCTTTTATAGAATTCCTCATTTCTTATAAGAGACAATTCCAGAAGATGGGCAATTATTTGCACAAGTCCCACCTAAAACAACTAAGAGTATCATATTAGAATGAAACCCAATGTTTATGCACAGAAACCTTACAAGATCTCTAAGCTTCACTCTCCACTGCATCACACACTGGTTAATCATCAAAAAGTGCAAAGGTGGCACAAAGTTCTCTTGGAAGAACACTTGACTGTGTGCAGCCACAAGTGACAATTCATTTCCACCAGTGAATCTCTCACGCACTCCCCATGAGTTCCCTTCTGCACTTTGCAGGGCTGCTTATTTTATTTGTTGCACAAATACTAGATTCAACTGTGAGGATATATGTGTATAGTCTCTGTCACAGAGGCAAGGAAACAGTATCTTACTCTAGAAGCCTGAAATCAAAGCTCTCAAGAGTGAGAAAACAAGTATAATTGTTCCTGATTTACAGATAAGGAATGCAAACATACTGAGACGGGGACTTCCAAAGAATCCATGGACTGAAACAATCAGTACATACCAACTTTACTACTCTGCTTATGACTTGTGAAACAACTTCCATACCCTGCAGCTTTGCTATTTCTAATTTTGAAGGCTACAGGGAAAGGAGAAAAGCCTAGTAGCAAGTCGGATCTGTACACAGAACATCTCCCAGCTCACTCTACAGAAAAGCACAAAAGCACATGCACTTCTTCAGCTGTTTCCAAGCCAGCAGGTAAAACACAGATCAAAGAGGCTGTGCTGAGAGCCATCCAAAACAATGCATTCTGTAGCCAGGGCTATGAGCCAGAAAGGGAAAGTAAACAGAGGCCTTCAAAGAGCAATATGGGGCTGGACCAAGAAAACATGTAGGCTGAGTGGTAGCAGATCCACCTCACAGGATTTTGATGGCATGACTCAAACAGCCATAAATTTATAAATTCCCACTTTAAGAGGTTTTTTTTTCCCCAACCTGAAATAGTTTGTGGTCTCGAGATGGGACGGGAATCTAAGGACTTGTGAATCCTCATTCCCTCTCTGACACAGGGTCTGCACTGTCCTTAACTATTGTGCCTCAATATCCCACTATATATTTCACTGAAGTACTGTGAAGTTACTGGAAACTTGTGGAAATTAAGAGGAACAGAAAGACACATATGAACTATGACAGCAAATACTTCATTTGTTAGCAAGCGTTAATCTTTAGTGATGTGTAGCATGCACATTTTTTCCCCATGAATTAACTCAAAATGATTAGAGCAGTAAGGAAAAGTTGATGATTATTTACATGCTACACCTCCACTCTCCAAAATGTAAGTCATTTTGGGAAAGTAAACTTCTCTATTCTTGAAAAGGGCTAAAAGAAAATAGTAAACCCATGTGCTTTTCAAAGTAAATTACTGCCCACTCTATTTCAAATAATGAATACAAATGGCTATTTACAATAAAATCAGGTTTTAGTTACATTTTTGAGGGCAGTGCTTACAGTTAGCCACATTCCCCACCTAATACAGGTTTAAATGATTGAGGACTGGCTGTTGAAGAGTGTTTGGCAGTTGCAAGGTATGCTTATGAGCCTTTAGGATAGAGTAAATTCAAAGTAGATGATCTCTTAATAAACACATTAGAAGTAAGTCTTACCTATCAGTATCCTATTCTTCGCAATGCCATTTTTAATCTCATCGTTGATCAAGTCTGTAAGTCCCCGGCACATAGAATCAATACTTTCAATGTGTTCTGGACAGTCACTGGAAATCTTGTACCTGTCAAACCAGACATTAGAGAAGGCTCCTTTCATAGGTGTATATGGCCTGAAATGGTGGAAGGAAAGAAAACAAATGATTAGCCAAGCATAAGATCAAAAGCCTTACATGATAAATAAACCCAAGTCAGTATCTCTCCAACAAAGGACAGAAGGAATCTCTTTTGTCTCTAACTCAATTTACATCCAGACACATTGCACTTCCTTGCATTCAGAACATGGTCCCTCAAGAATGAAGACAGCATTTGGAAGCTGTGTAAAACAGTTCAATGTGAAGGTTGATCAGGTTACCCAACCATTTTAAATCTTAACCCTGCCAAGAGGTTCTGAATCCTAAACACAGGGTTGAAATCCACCTTGGAATAGGACAAACTGAAGTAGCTGCTAAACAAGACAGCTTTGTAGGAGCTAACTTTATGGGATTCAGTTGCCTTATTCTTGTCAAAATTGACAAGAGATGGGTATTATAAACCTCCGGGTATCTATACAAAAACTTCTTCCTCACCTTAATGGAGCAGGTACCTCATAAAAATAACTGAACAAAATGCCATGTGCACAGGCACAGATTAGAGACATGATACTCCCCCTACGATAATACTGTGTTGTCAGATTAGTATTTTAACTGCTTTAACATGCTGTCCAAACCTCAGAGAATCAGGGAAGCTACAATTCAAAGCAGCCCTTGTTTTTAGTAATGATGACGAATAGAGCCCTGAAATCCCAAGAAATGTGAACTTACCACCTTGCAATGGCTCTACAATTTAATAACAAATATACTGCTACGAGACTGGTGCTTCATCTCAAAACCAAGCCCCTTAAAATCCTTATATGCAATGTTTAATCAGAGGGCAAGTTCTTCATTTTTACTTCAGATCAGATGACAATTATTGACTACAGACATCTGTCTGGATGAAAATCCACTGAAAACACTAACATTGACTTCTGTGCTCACTCTAGGTTTTTTTTCAGTACTAAGATTAAACAAAACCACAACTAACCTAAAAAAAGGAAGCCACTATTTCAATTACCCTTAATGAAGGAACAAATTCTGCCTTTATTAATACCAGAGAGGCTTCACATATGTAAATGGCTATTTCTAAGCCAGAAATACTCCAGTGAGTACAAGAGGCAGTATACTATTTGTATTACTCAGTCACGCAAGTCAAAAATGAAGGAACACAGATTTTTATCTGCCCAGTGCCATGAACATGATATAAAGTTAATGACTTACAAAGCTAGTAACCAAAATATAAAGAAAGAGGCAACAAACAGCAAGAGACAGGTACAGACAAGAATGTTTTATCTTTCAGAGTGTAGCTTCAGGAATGAGTACCTAATCATAGAATGGGCTGGAAAGGAACTTAAGATCATCTAGTTCCAAGCCCCTGCCATGGGCAGGGGCACCTTAAACTAGACCATGTCACCCAAGACCCTGTCCAGCCTGGCCTTGAACACTGCCAGGGATGGAGCATTTGCCACTTCTCTGGACAACCTATTCCAGTGCCTCACCATCCTTGCAGTAAAGAACTTCTTCCCTGTATCTCATCTGAACTTCCCCTGTTGAAGCTTAAAATGGCATAGAAACATGTGGTCAAGTTCAGTACAGCATGTGCCTTACATAGGTCCTCATTTGCTTAGTTCAAAACAAAACATATACTTAAGCACCAGAATTAACAATTATTTAAGTTAACCCTTACTTATCTATTAAAAAAGGTAACTCCTAAATTAAAGGAAATTCAGTGGAAATACTTTGTACACCCAACAAGCTAAAGCTTAGTTTAAAAAATGTTATTAAAATGCTTTTGCTTTTTTGCTTTCTCCCCCACCCCCCTTATTGTTTTGTGTGATTGAGATTTGTTTGTTTGTGGGTTTTTTTGGTTTTGTTTTGGTTTTCTTAACTTCTTTTTAGTATTACCACTGTCTCCAGGATTCTTCTCAAATGAATTGATCAACACCTAAACCCCAAGATCACAAATCTCTAATTCACAGAAGTCAACTTCTAAGAGGAAGTCAAAGCATTCCAAAGACATCAACAACAGTAGAATTAGTGGTGTTTCTGGAAGTTACTTAGAGAATGTGATGTACAAGAGACTTAGCACTTGGGCAAACAGAACTGAATTCACAGTTTTAGCTTCTTAAACACTTTGATATCAATCCTGGTTAGCAGCCAGAATGCTTCGTTTTACTAATGCTTCATTTTCTAGTAAAACCAGAGTGCCTGCTATTTGTGTGAGAATGGATGTGTAAGGTTGCAGTATTATCACAGCAGGTTGGCCCAGGATTTCCATAGAATGAAGATATGTATTTGTATTACGTTACAAAAACTCACATTACAGAGATATTAAAACAGGCTTCTCCACAACTGAAAGATTCATACAGTTTATAAACAGGATAAAATCCATGATGAGATTATACTACTTCACTGGGTGTCAAAACTCAGGACTTTTACCTGCTGTCTTGGCAAATTTTTCAGTAAGATAGATGAAAGACTAACGTGTCTTAAGCCCACAAGAAAAGACCCCCAAGCAAATGGACAAGATGCTTTCAACTGTCTCTAAAACATCCTTGCAACCACTCTCGATTTCTCAGAAATGCATTAAAAATAACCTTTACATAAAGCTGAGAAGTAAGATTCTTTTAATGGTTCACCCAACTGGCACATCTCTTTTAGTCATTCACCTTGTTCCTTAAATAAATCCCTTTATTAGCTGGCACACTACAACTCAGACATTACCACGGTAAACAAATATGTTTGGCATGGAACCATCTGTACAGCTCCAAGAATACAGCACAAAAGTTCTTCATACAATTAAACCACAAAAGACAAAAAACCAAACAAACCCTATGTTACAGTGACACAGGAGGCTGGGCTGAAACACATGGAAGCAAAGAAATATAGAGTGCAAACTCCATTTGTAAGAACAGCATCGTCAATTAAGGACAGTATCAGACCAAATAGTAAGTTTTAAGTTTGGAAGGTTTTGCTTTCTTAAGTTTTGATTAAACTTGTAACATCAGTCCCACTTGTTCTTCTCTTTATTCCCTTTGTTAAGCAATAGTAAAAACAAAGCTCCACGTCTCTACAATATATGCTGTTGAAACTTGGAATGAAAATATATAGCCCCCCAAGTTTTGTAGGTGCTTTTTTTGTTCATGTTTGGTTAGTTTTAAAGGGTGTGTGCTTTTTGTCTTGCTTTGGAGCACGCAGAAGATTCAAATCCATATAAGAAAACAAGAATCAAACCCTCTCTCTCTGGGTATATCCAACTTCCAAACTTGAATCCATCAAAAGACATTTGAAATATAATTTTCTATAAATCCAACTAACTCTTTAACACATAAAGAGAAAGGAAGACGTAAAGAAAACATGGCTAATATCAAAAGGCATCTAAAAAAAATGCAGGTACCCTAAGGAAAAGAATCTTTAAAATGCTTCCCAACATCCTCAAATCACTTTAGACCATATTTTCTGATTACTTTATAGGTCTTATTTTTTAAGGGTATACATTGATCTATAGTTGTTTTCTCACACACACCCTTCTTGCAGTGAAGGTGCAAGTCTCTTGAGACTGAAGTTTCACGAAGATTCTACACACCTAATATATGAATGTCTGAAAAAGAAAGCATATCCTGTAGTCTCTCTAAGTATTTATCATCCTTCCAATCTTTTAAGCATGTATTCACATCTAGAACTGTGCTGAACAGTTTGAAATTACCCGAATTTAATAGAAATGGAGAGCAACTGAATGATGCTACACAAATGTTCACACTCACGTCTAAAACCACGTCAAGTTCTACCTCCAAAATGATGCTAATTAGCACAGTGATTCACATAAAACTGGTGGGTTTGGTCATTAGCCAATAAATCACAGTCCCCGTCCAACATTTTAAATTAAAAGACAAGCTAGCTGCTTCAGGTAAGAAACTAAGAGTAGCAGACAGCACCTTGATAATTCTTCCCCCAACTCTTTCTCTTGGTGCACGATTGTATCACTTTCTTCACACTCAGCACTACGATCACCAGCGAATGCAGCCACATAAAACACAGATCATTGGTGCTGGCTTACAGCTTTCTGGAAGTTCCAGACAGAACTTCCTGAGATGTCAGACAGAACTGGGGATTTATAGTGAAGCTAGGCTTCAAGATTCAAATAAAGAAAGATCAACATTTTTTAAATCCTCGCTTCTGCTTCCTTCCCAAACCCATCTCCTCTCAGTCAGGAGGCAGAGAGTCGCATGAGACATTGTGATGTCCTCTTCTGGAAGATTCTGCATTCCTTTGAAAAGAAGTCTACAGAGCACACTGCCAAACTGCTTTAGTTCTAGTTTACTCCGCTCTGGTGAGATCCCACTGGAGTACTGAATCCAGCTCTGGAACCCTTAGCGCAGGAAAGACAGACCTGTTGCAGTGGGTCCAGAGGAGGACAACAAAAATTATCAGAGGGCTGAAGCACCTTTCCTATGAAGACAGGCTGAGAGAGTATGGCTTGTTCAGCCTGGAGAGGGCTCAGGGGAGACCTTACTGCAGACTCTCAGTACTTAAAGGGGGTCTACAAGAAAGATGGGATCAAATTCTTTACAAGACAAGAGGTAACGGTTTTAAACTAAAAGAGGGTAGACTTAGATTAGATATAACAAAGACATGTTTTACATTGAGGGTAGTGAAGCACTAGAACAGGTTGCCCGGAGAGATGACAGATGCCCCATGCCTGGAAACATTCAAGTTCAACTTGGACAGGGCTCTGAGCAACCTGATCTGATGGTGACCCTGCTCACTGCAGGGAGGGTAGATGAGATGACTTTTCTAAAGATCCAACCCAAACTATGACACTAGAAACAAGTCCTTACTCTCCTAAAGCTGGTGGCAGGTTTTTCCAATGACAGCAAAGTTACATCCCAGTCCCAAATTCTCCTAGCACAACCTCACCCCTGATACTTGTACACCACAAGAGAAAACCTAGTTTATAAATCTGCTTTCTAATTCCCACTGCCTGCTTGAAGCCGAAAGCGACTTTTAAAAGAAAAAGGTGGGGCAAGCAGAGAACCCAT